AGAACGTATGGGGGCGTGGTCAGGCGTCGCTCAAAACTACATGAAAATTAATTTGAGGAGTTTCAAAGACTTTATTTAAATGATTCTATAGTAAAAATAATATGTAAAAAAATATATATAATTTTTTGTTGTCCCTGACGAAGTGTATTTTCCTCCCCGACGGGGACTTAGCTCTCCCTGATGGGGCCTTGGCGACCGTCCCCCTCTCCCAACTGGTGCCACCCCAGGTTCTGATTGGATGTTACTCTACCTAATCCAATCCAAGCGGTACAATACTAATAATACTATAGCATCCAACAAAATTAGTTTAAGGCTGGTGTAACAATAGTCACTGCCTAATTATATACTGTAGCTCCACTGTGTGTAAAAGACATCTTTGGTGAGATAACCTGGCTAATTCCAAGCTAGCAGACTTCCAGGAAACAATAATAATAGATGATGTGAAGTATGATAGCATACGCTATCTCGGTAATGATAATGAAGGTTGGGGTTGGAGACAATCACCATTATTAGAATAGTAGGCATTTTTACCGAGATAGTGTACTGTACTGTCAGATGCAACAAAATCAATTTCTAATTACAGCACATCTAAAATTCGGGTAAAGGAGCATCTGTCGTCATGCCTTTCCTCTTTAGTCAATTAATTGAGTGAAGAAAATAAATAAATAAATAACTTTTTTTCTTGCATGTGATTTTTTAAAATTAATTTTTAGTTCCATTTTGTTTTTGTTTTTTTTGTTGTTTTTTTTTGGTGTTATCTGTTTTGTGTATATTGGGACCACTCTAGAAATAAATCCTTTATTGGGATTAAGAGGGTTATCCCAGATATCCACATTGATGACTTGTTTTCTGAATTTGTTTCATTGTATTCAGTTGTTCCGGTTTTGTGATGTTATTATGTTGATATCAAATATATCAAATCAAATCAAATGTACCATATTTATAGCCGATACCAATAATAGAACAATGCAAACATTATGAATACATGCAAGATATGAGGTAGCTTACAAAAAGATTTTGCTTGCTTGCGAAAGTGTAGGCAACTTGCATGTGACTTCGAGACTCCTGTATAGTGCAGAAAATGTCCGAAAAATAAATGTTTGCACTTAGCATGACGCATATCATTGAGATCCTATGAGTTCAAATTATTTTCTCTTTAATGTCTTTCTAGATAATATTACAATAATGACCTTCTACATCAAACCACCATCAGGACTTACTCTACTGGAAAATCTTGAGTCGTATACCTTAACACGTATGAGATTTCTACTTAGTGTGGATGAATGCGAATCAAGGAAAAGTGGATCGGAGCAACAGGGAAGTATCGTATCTCTAAATGCTGACTCTCAGGGTACTAGCAACCCTCAGAGAGGTAGTCCAGAAGGAGATGACTCTCAGGCAAGTGGTCTCAAAATAAGTGAACGACAAGGAAGTCTCCAGTGCTTTCAAGCGTTGTTGAGAGAAGAAGAGTATGTAGCTTACTCAGACTGCTTGATTGAAGGCTCGAGGAAGGACAGAATCTCTCACTTTACTCTTCGGTAAGTTGGTATCTTTCCAAAAGTGTCACTGAACTAGGTCTAAAATGTTCATGTATATTTGTACTTTAGTGTTTTTATATTCCTCTTCTTGTCTTTTTTTAGTCTGGCATGTTCTATGGACCAAGACTTGCAGCACTTTTTCATGACTGCAGAAAAAAAGTTATTTCACTTTCGATTTTGTTCTATGAATGCCGAAGAATTGGCTGCATTTTTGAGATCAACTCAAAAATTTCTTTCAAAGCTTCTACGGCGTTCAAATAAAGTTATATCAGAGGGAAAATTCTCATTCCTATTAAAAAACCTGCATGATATTCTGCTGAAAATATATAATGTTGGTCAATCCTGGGAAGATGTTGCACAAAAATATGTTGAGGGCAGTGCAGAGGAGGCTGTGGAAGTTCCGTTTCAATGTGCTTTGGACTTGATCGCTGAACGAAAGGTGGAGCTTAATGCAGGGATGGCATCCATTCCAATTTCAAAGCTTGATACCATTATGTCAGGACTATTTGAAAAAGTTTTATGGCATGGAATGATGGATTCACAGAGGGCGCTAGACATGGTTCTTGATGATGAAAGGATGGAGGATCTGTTTGACAAAGTTTGTGGGATGTTTTCTACTGTGAAGTTGAACATGTCATATATTTACTCCAAAAAGGGGAACAATCTTCGAATGACTCTAAGAGATGTGGATAAGAATGTGGATGGGTTCCCGCTGTGTATGAGTCATCTACATCAAACTTTAAGATGGAAACACAGGCTAAGGCACTTCTCAAGGGTAAGTCCATGAAAACAGATTTACAGTACACATACACATTAATTACCTGTTAAAACTATTAGTAATTAAACATACTTTTTATTTGAAGCCACTTCGGTTGGGTTTCTCTAATTGTTATCAGTATATCATCATTAAAAAGAAAAAAGGTCAGAGTACTGCTTCATTAAATTCATTTGCATTGTAGGATCTCATTTTGAAGAGACCTAGAAAGATTAATTCAAAAAATGTACTGTCTAATGAAATTGTGATAAAAAAAAAAACCCCAAAATTTGATTGAATTGCTAAACTAATAAGATCAAATAAGTTGTCAACTTCATACCAAAATAATATTTACTGTACTCTTGTTATTTTTAGATTCAGTACACACTATTTCTGAAAGATGCAGGCCTATCTGTAAATGATGCAATTAATTTCTGGAAGATGGAGTACTCTCGACCCCAAAAAAGTAAAATTGATGCACACCATGCCTGTTCTCATTCATGGAGTAAAGATGCAAAACGGTACACATACAGTATCAGGCATTTGTATGGCCTTGAAGGCTCGCATATCAATTATCGATCCCATTCATGCACGTCAATTCAGGTAATGACAAGATAGTTCAAATTCATTTGGATTTGTTAATGTTTATATATATGTTTTTTGCATGAATTATGTAAATATTGAATTGAATAATACTGAAAGTAAAACATTATTTATATTAATAAATCATGTTATAAATTATTTTTATCATCAACAGAACACATGTCTAGGTCATGGAGAGGAAGGAGGATGCCCTTATAAACATTTTGATGAACATTCACTCATGAAGGCATTGGCCTTTGATCGGTTACACCCGAAAGTTGTAACAGAAATACTTCTATCTGCAAGAAATCATTGTTACGCAGATGCCTGTTTAAAGCATCGAAAAGCAAAATTTGAAGAGTTTCTGACAGATGAATGTGTTCCCTGTAACACACTTGAATCCAAATTCCTTCCAAAATTTGAAAAACACAGTTTACCCCGGTTTGACAATAGTATTAAAGTGAAGCAAAAGGTGCCAATGTTTTCTACCAAAGTTCAACGATTAGTAGAAACTTTACAGGTAAAAAGTGAAACCAGTGATGAAGAGCTCCCCCTATTGTCAATGGAAACTGATGATAAAAAGCTTCCTCTATGGCCAATAGAACCTAAAGGCAAGCAAGGAGAGGAATCAAATTATGCTTGTTGTGAAAATGAACCATTTGTACCAAGTAACGAACAATTTATGTGCAATCCTGAAATTTCTGAATTTGAAGATAAAATGAAAAATGTATTCTTGCAGTTTCATAAACCAATATCAAGACCTATCGATTATTTTATAAGCTTTCAGAATCTGTTAGATGGTCTTAAAAACTTAGAGTCTGAAAATATGGATAAGATAGTAGACACGGAATAAAAAATAACACTTGATTCAGTTTTTTAATATCTTATGATTGTATCCAAATTTTTAAAGTGAATTTTTAAATCAATGCAATCAGCTTGCAATTTTATGAAATTTGGGTATCGTTTCATCCAGAAATAAATTCAGTTTAATTAATTATTAATGAATTAAAGAATATGTATCCTTATGATTACAGTATTATGATATATACCCACATGTTGAGTTGAATTGTATACATGTGCTATAAAAAAATCAATTTTAGAGAAGGTCTCTCTCAACCTATTTTACAAATTTAGAGTTTTAGGATATATTCTGATTTTAAGTTTAATTAATTTTTAATGAATTCAAGAATATATATCATTATGATTACAGTATTATGATATATACCCACATGTTGAGTTGAATTGTATACATGTGCTATAAAAAATCAATTTTAGAGAAGGTCTCTCTCAACCTATTTTACGAATTTAGAGTTTTAGGATATTGTCTGATTTTAAGTCGTCCTACGATGCATTGTGTGCCTCGCTTTAGACATCTGAATATGAATTTCTTATTTCTAATATATTTGATTATCAAATGGGGTTATTAATTGTTATATTTGGTGTATTACTTCATGCAATGTCTTGTGTAATACAGTATATAATTTTGTTCAATTTGTATATTTTATTTATGTAAACTATGTAATTTAAAAGTGTACATTGGCATTGTAAAACCCATTTGTATAGTACTGTAGTTTGAAAGAATTTTAAATTTTGTATTGAAATTTTCAGCAATATTCATACCAAGAATTAATGGATGTTCAGTTCATAATGAATTCCTACAAATATTAAATGTTTAATTGCAAAAGATTTTAGCAATTGTTCTTTGGAATTGTATTATCAATGGTATTGTTGATGTCGACAGCAATGGCTCCAGAAATTTGCTGACGTCTGACAGGGGGTCTGAATCAAGGGGCTGACTAGAGCCTCGGACCGGGTTCTGGAATATAATACCCTATTAGGGTTCACAGGAAAAGTTTTTATGGCTTTGGACCAAATTGTGAATCAAACTAACGTTATCTGAATAGGCAAATTTTTATATTGTAATTTTTGATCCTACAAACTTATGGCATCAGACGACAGGGGTTCCAGGCCTATTGATTTGTGGGTGTAGACAGATGGTGCATCAAGCATTATGTCCCAACATTGGGTCAAAGAGCAGTATACAAATTCAGGGAAGTGGGAACTGACCAACAGGGGAACTGACAACTTCTAGAAGCCCAGGTGGGGTTGCAGGAGGCCCCATGAGAAGCTGGGAAATTTTTGACCACTTGAAACTGTTCTGAAACAGGGGAGAACTTGGCCTCTGACAGGGGGATTCTTTCCCAAGTAATTCAGGAGTTTCTGAATGACAAGATGACCAACCAGTTGCTGCATGCAGGGGTGGATTTGGGTAGGGCGCCCCCATCCCCTATTTTGAAAAGTAAAAAAAAAAAAAGAAAGAAAAAAATGATTGATCACCTAAAACGCCTCAGAGGTTATTTCTGGACGTCTAGAAAACAAGGATTTCCTGGACCCCTTCCCCTCCCCCACGCCCCTGGCATGTTATTCATTGTGAAATGGTATCCAGAGATGAAATGTTAAAAGAGAAATCTGCGAGTGTAAAAATGAGATTCCAACCTTGGCCACTAGGATTTTGTTGAAAATTCAAATGCGATTACCCTAGATACAACTGAAATTTTACACTCTTGCTCATGGGTGTGGAACAAGGCTATTTCTCCATTCATTGCAAATTATGTAAATCCATTTGATACATCCTTATCTTAAGCATTTGATGACAAGACAAGGCAAGACCCATAGTTCTATGTGGTCTAAAGGTATGATAATCCCCTTGATAGCAAGAGGTTGCAGGTTCGGATCCCGCTAGAGACACTTTTCATACAATTAAAAAAAGAAAAAAGGGACATTTTTGTTTAAGGGCTAGGGTTTAGTAGTAGTAGTAGTAGTATTTTGGCACTGTCATTTCTATTCATCTATTTGTTCCTCGAAGGAGAGGTGAATGGTATTGCAATAGTGCACGTTTGTGGGGCTGTCTGTCGGTGGTGTGCGTGTGTGTGTGTGTGTCCTTCCGTGTGCATAACTCACAAACTAATGGAACAATTTGCTTCATGTTCGCACACTAACAATGTTACATGTAAGCTTAATTTTGGTGCTGATATTCATGAAATTGACCGAAATAAAAATGACTTTGATCATGACAAATTTTAATAAAATAACTTCGTTATGGAGACGACTGAATTTCACAAAATTTCACAGATGGCCTTTGAAAGTTTGAATCGGAACATCTTCTCAGAAATATGATAACTCTGACAAATTTGAAGAAAACTGACCCTGCCGATTTTTACTTATGTGTAACAATGATAAATATCGATACTTGTGAACAAGTGTGAGGTGGTTTGTCGTTTTGGAGATATGTATAGACAGAATGTCAGAACATCGTTTGATTTACACTCTGCTTGCGCGACATTCACACAACGAGGCCTTCGTTTTTTTACATTTCTTAAAAAGGGAGTCTAACAAAGTGCTCAAGTGTTCAAGGTCTAACAATTCATTGAGAAGCTATATTGAACTACTAAACTTTCCATTTTAAATATTTAAAAAATTACAGCTTTTATCCAAAATATGGCCAGAGTGCGCGTTTGCGCTTTTGCCCGATTTAAAAATAAATTCTTAAAACTATACACCCATTATTTTAAGCCGATTCGGGACACGTCTAAGTTCCATTTAGTATTACTATGATGGATGAATGCTACATCATTGCCTTTGAGCTTTTAATTGTTTTTACTTATTTAATTGAAAATTCTGCGACAAGAAAACTCTGGTTCGCCTGGAAATGTCCTTTCACTTAAGTGTATCAGCGATCTTTAGAAAGAAGTTTGTCTAGCATTTGAGATGGAAAAGAAATCGTCAGAAAATTCACCTCTTCTGTAGGTTCCATCCTTTGGATGATCATTATATAATTTCTAATTGTTTTTATTCTGATACCTGAAAACTCTGTCTCCTGGAATAATACAGTGTGACCCAATTTTTGAAAGATGTGGGCCTATTGTCCCATAGAAAAAAATATCGAAACAATCTGTTTTGACTTAACTTTATAATTTTTAAGTAACATAAAACTTATCAACTTGAAAATAGAAATCAGTTTATTAAAAAATGTTTACACATAATTTTAGAGCGAAAAGTGAAAGTTATAATATTTTTATTATCATTATACCGTATAGAAATCAGGGTACAGATTTTTTAAAATTAAATAATTACAATGCTCTATTTAATAATTTGTATGTTATGCCTACTGCAAAATGAGCAAGTTAATTTTAAAATAGTTTTTTTTAATGATTTTTTGATAAGGAATATTGTAATGAAAAGTATTCCTAATATATAAACTAATTAGGGCCGCACTTGCGACCGCTTATCGCAATTTTTAATTCTTTTTGAATAAAAAATAATAATATAAAGTACTGTACTATCTCATAGAGTTATACTTTCCTTGTTTTTTATTGACGTGAGTTATAGGCCCTTCAAGATAAAAGATAGCTAAGATAAATGTTATTACAGTATACGGATCAGAATCAGAAATTAGGATATGAGGCTTACAGCAGCAAGGGCGTCAATTATCCGTGATTGAATGTGGGGGAACGAAATGCAAAATAATAAGGTTTTGTGCCGTAGGCCCAAGCCTCCGGTTGGGGGGTCAGGGGAGCTGCCTAGGACCCCGGTAAGGGTCCAGGGGGTGAACTCCTGAAGCTCTAGCGCCTATAGCCTTTTATAAGTCGTATCTAATTTATTTTAAGGAATGCAATTAACATTTATTTCCACACTAGGCCTACATTTTCAAAATACAGTGGCGGACCCAGGAATTTGAAATAGAGCTGGGCCCAGGGAGGCACTTTTACAATTGAGAGTGTAGACCACCTCAGCCCCAGGATGGTTGGGGCTGCGGTAAGAAAATTTATGATTATGGCACCTCTAGTTGATCGGAAATGACACTCCAGACTAAATTTGAATATAATTTTCATTTTTCTCCACTTTTTAATTTTGAAAAAAAAAAAAAAAAAAAAAATAGGAAGGGTGGGCCTGCCGGCATAATCCCCTTGTTTTGTTAAAATATCTTAAAATCGACAATACGTCAAGGACTCATTGAAAATTGTTCACCTGAAAGTAGGAGTGTACGGTCCACTAAACCGCTAGCATAATATAACTAGAACAAGTTAACAAATTCCATTGGATGAAAGTATTGCATTGTGAATTCTTTAACAACAAGTGGTATGACTCAAGAAATATGTTGATATGATCATTTACTGAATCGTCAAAACAACACACTGCTGTCAAGTTTTGGCGATCGTCCACCTTACTCGGTTTTGGTCCCGGAAATAAGCACCGCACCGTGGAAAAGAGCACAAGTGAACAGACAAAATTCATGACAGTCATGCGTAATTGTTGTTCTCTCCATTCCCTTTGAAAAGTGGAGTTTTAATTATAGAAGATTGGTGAAAGTGGTGGGTGGGGGGAAGGGGACAATTGATATTGATGTCCCTTAAGGTAGATTCACCGAATCCGAATTCGGTTCGTAGATCGTTTTCGATGCGCGTCTTACACGCGCCTCTATATTTACCACTGATTGATATTCTTTTTTCGTTTCGATACGAACCGAATTCGGCTTCGGTGAATGCAGCTTTAGACCTACTTTGAAAAGTCGGGTAAGTGGGGTCCCCCTGTCCCACAGACGGCCATGTACATTAGGCTACATATAATATAGACCTAGGCCTATATAAATGTAAAAGCCAAAAAGTTATTTATTTGATATATGTATCATTATTAGACATTTCTTCAACATTGTTTCTTTGTATTACAGCATTATAATAAATATGTAAATAATGTATAATTTAAAATCCACAAATGTAAACAAACCGGCATGAAACGTTCGCGCGTTATTTAAACAAAGTGCATCATGGGAAGCACGTGGACTTTTCAACAATCATCTTCCATTTTATCGCGGAACCACGAACATGGCGGACTCAGGATCTAGTAGCGGTGAAGATGAGGAGAACACAATCGCCGCGGATTTGGTTGTTACAAAATATAAATTAGCAGCAGGCATGGTTAACGGTAAGATATTAAAGATATCAGATTTTCATTTTAGTGAAACTTAGCTGGTACTAACCATTTTCATCACCAGCTGTGACGTTTGAATCGATGTAGTGTAGGATAGGAGTCCAAGGTTATCCTAGCCTAGGCCTCGTTTTAGCCTCACTCACTCACTTATCTGTTGGTTTATTCCTGGTCATTTACTATCCGTTTAGAGCTTACCTACTTGAAAGGAAAGTTTGATAAGAATAATATTCTTATTATACTGAAAGTAAATATAAACAATTAACTGTCTTTGTAACTGTTAACTGTTATTTGTAGCTTACTGATCTGTTTAATTAGTATAGTTAGTAATTGTCTTCTTAATTTGATGTGGACGTTAATCATCCACATTCTTGTTTCGGGCGAGACCATTGTTCAACACATAGATGATTCGTTTGAATTAAATTTCTTTGCCACCAGTCAGTAGACATCTCTAAAATAATAAGATTAGAATAGCATGCATATTCCTCACCTACACAGTACTTAGGGAATCATTGTAATCTTGATGATGAATATTAATTATTATGTTGTTTTTTTGAAGAGTTTGTTTTTTTGAAAGTACAGACTTTTTGTTTAGAGAGAGAGGTCATTGCACAATATTATGACATCTTCAGCCAGTTTTTGCTACGAATGAGTCATTCAAAATATTGAAAGAATAAATATTGACAAAATGCACATTCTTCATTTAAGTCTGCAAATAAAAATATCAGGGATTCTACTCAGGTTAAAGGTTAAATGTTATATTTTATACCTAAATCATTATATTACCTAGATGATTATATGCTTTAAGAAGATAAAAATCAGTGAAAGTATTTTTACTAATGTGTTTATTCATATCGATTCTTTAATCATTAGCTGTTCTTAAACATGTAATGGAAAAATGTGTAGAAGGTGCCATTGTTCTAGAGTTATGTAAGGAAGCAGACAAACTGCTGTTGGAAAAAACAGGCAGTGTTTATAAAAAAGACAAGGAGATAAAGAAAGGTAAGAGGAACAGAGGAACAGTAAATCCAAATTACAGACATATGAACTTATTGCTACCAAAATGTCATATTTTGTGACAAATAACTGATATGCCCATATGTGGGTGTAATATTACATCATCATGCCCATATATGGGCTTATCACACAAATTTGGCACATCTGATATTGCATTTGAAAGTGTGGACAAAGCTGTTACATTCTTGCAATTACCTGTGAAACTTCTATTTATATATTTTTTACACTTGCCTTTTTCTAATGGTGATTTAATATTTTCTCGGTTTCTAGGTATTGCATTTCCTGTCTGTATATCTGTCAATAACTGTATTTGCCATTATTCTCCTCTTGAAAGTGAAGCACCATTGAGCCTTAAAACAGGAGATGTCGTCAAAATGTAATTGGAGTTTTTTTTTTTTTTCATTCTCATTTCTAATGATACCCAAACTAGGCTTGCCACCAGGCCTGAAAAGAAGATTTTGTGCTGATTGGCTTGATAAAATGAGCACGCTATGGTGGTCTGGAATGAGTGCAAAAAATGAAAATCCTAACCAATGATGAATTTTGCTAAACATTTTTATTAAAAGTTAGCCATAAAGCTACTGAATTAAAGGTACAGTAAAATCTCCCAATTACAAACCTCCCATTTACGAACTCTCGATTTTACATACCAAATTTATGGCGGTGACGTCATTGCGAATGATCGTTTTTAACTACAGAAACACTTTAAAATGTATTGAAAGTTCTTCAGAAATAATTTAAATTGTTACAAGTTTAAAGCAAGAAATATCAATCTTTTTCAGCTGAGATATATTATATTTGAGCTGCATGCTTGTTCAGGCATACTGTACAGTGAATCTCACTTTTTGATCATTGGGGGCGCTATTTGCATGGATTCGCGATCTTTATGGAAAGAATAATAACACTCGTGTTGGGCATTATATGGTCGTGTTTTCATTCATTTTCAATAGCCCTGTATTTTGTAGCATAGGCCTACCATCACCACACTGAGATGCTGAAAATTTGAACTCGCTGAATTACAAATTTTTTCATTTACAAACCCTGTTTGGACGGAGGGGTATGTAATTGGGAGACGTTATTGTATCACTGTTATATTCTTTTGTTTTGGCTAAATAAATGTTCTATAGAATAATTTTCATGCCAAATAGCTAAACATTAAATAGCTAGCTTAAACGCTGAATAATGTAGTTTTTGCCTTGTTTTGAGCAATTGTTGACAATAATAATGAAGGAATAAAGTTGTTCTCTTTTTTTTTATATATTTTACTTAAAACTTATAACCTATTTTTTGTCTTTCTCAGCGATTTGGGTGCCCATGTAGATGGAATGATTGCTACCGTGGCTCACACATTGGTAGTTGGTTCGTCCCTCGAAAATAAGATCACTGGTCGTAAAGCAGATGTGATTAAAGCAGCGTACTATTGCTCAGAAGCGGCACAGCGCATGGTTAAACCAGGAAATAAGGTACACATTTAATCTTTAACCTTAATTCAGGTTTTAACTTTTATCCTGCTAACTTACCAGCAAATTTCAGAATTGATTTTTTAAAAACTTTTTGATTGAATTTTTGAGATATTTTTCGGCTGACTTTAGTTAGGTTAAGATGGACTTCCGTCTGAGGTAAAGGTAGAACAGATGTAAAATTTTACACACGCATTACTTTCGAGTGTCCTCACGATGCTTACACAGGGCATAACATTCTTTTTACTTCAAAGGTAGTTTAAAGCTTAGAAGTAACTGCACATTTTCCGAAAGTGATAATCCTTTTTGTTGTCTCCTAACGGTTATTTTGCACATCGATTATTGAAAATGTAAACAATTATGAAAAACTTTGTGTACAAAGATTTACACATCACAGGAAATGTTTTTTTGGCATTCATTTGTAGGTCATCATAAAGGTCGTATTTACTTGCGAGCTTGTGTCTACACAGCACTACTCTGAGCGTGTATTCCTTACATTCCTGGTGTACGTGGAAGTAGCACACTTACTCTGGAAACTGCTCAGAAATAAATCGTCTGTAGTAACGTTGAAGTAACTTGATACAAAAAGTGTCTTCACAGGCTTACCACAAGTAAACTCTACTTCAAAGCTTCTAACTTGTCTGTAACTTTTGATCAGCCTTGACTTCAAGAATCCACCTAACCATCAACTTTTTATTCAATTTTTGTAGAATAGTGACGTTACTAGTGTAGTTGACAAGATCGCAGAGGCATTCAAATGCAAGCCAGTGGAAGGAATGTTGTCACACCAGTTGAAAAAGAATGTCATCGATGGAGAAAAGTCCATCATAATCAACCCAACCGACCAGCAAAGGTAAGTATGCTATTAAATGATAGAACAGATCCCTATCATAAAGTATGTATTGTACTACTAGTCTTGGTCAACTGATCTAACAATTGTCATGATCATCTTCAGTTATAAATTGTCTTGGATAATAACACTGCTGCATTATGGCATAAAGAGAAGTAAGCACTATGCAACACATAATATTACAGTAACTATGAGTGTTTTTTTCATCTGAAGTGTCATCTTTATTATAATTATTGTTTTTCATGATCCAAAACGAAGTCAAGCGATGTAAGAAATTAGTTAAAATTTATATTTCTTGTGTTTCACCTACCAGCAGTAAGAATAACTACATGCTTAGTATCATCGGATCCAATGAGCTTATTCAATGATATATTTTTTGTTTGTCATTGGTATAATTACCTTCTACATCAATGCATTAGGTTTCTTCATCATATTTGTTCATATGGCAAATTCGCGACGGTTATCTTGTTCCTGTCTATCATTACTCAGAGTGTGTCTAATCCTCTCTTACCTGCCTTCTATCCATCTTTCTTTCAGGAAAGATCACAAAGAGTGTGAATTTCAAGTACATGATGTGTACGCTGTGGATGTCCTAGTCAGCACAGGTGAAGGCAAAACTAGAGAGGGCGATGTTAAGACTTCCATCTATAAGGTCACAGGTGAAACATACTCACTGAAATCGAGTACATCAAGGCAGTTATTTGCCATGTTTGACAAAAACATGCCTACTTGTCTAAGGTAAGGATCGAGCTAAGATAAGTAGTTTTGTTTGAGGATATGTTTTTGTGTATGTACCTAGGTATGTATATTGAACAGGGGTGCGACTTATTTTTTTTAGATTTTGTGCCTTTTATAAATTTTGAAGTTGGCATTCTATTATTCTTTACCATGCAAGAACACCTCAGTACTAAAAAGACAATTTGCTTTTTGATTGTTTTCTTTGGAAGGACCACCCATGTTTAATCAAATAAAGGAAGTGATTAAAAAATGAAAAATAATCTCTTTTTTTGAATGTTACACAGGCAGTATGAGCAGGGAGAATCCAAAGCTAGGCTAGGGGTCGTAGAATGTGTGACGCACAACCTGCTGCAGCCATATCCTGTACTCTTTGAAAAACCAGGTAAGATAACTTTCACAACCTGGTGTTTACTTCTCAATGTGTGTTTTGATTAACAAGGTACCTAGATGAGAGAGTAAAATGAGCATGCCTTGTGGTGTGCGCCCAAACAAACACCACTTGAAATTATTTGGGGAAGTTTACATGATAATTGTTTAAATGCCGATGTGCCAATCTCTTCTCATAGGGCTATATACCATGCTTTTGATGTCGTGTTCTTAAAATCCATTCAATGTATTTTGATTGGTTTTGTCAGTTATGGCCTACTGGCCTATGTGGACACACTCAGTGCGTCTTTGCTGTGCCCCCTCCCCAAGGAAACATCGCATCCCAATAACTGTAATTTGGAATAAATTTGTCTTGTTGACCTAAGGCTGATATACAAAGCTCCTTGCATATGCTTGTACAGTATTCACCCTTGTGACCTTGAAGGTAGAAATATAACTGGATTGTGGCTAGTTATTTAATGAATCTTTTTCACTGTTTTGTAGGCGAGTTTGTTGCCCAGTTTAAATTTACCACACTTCTGATGCCAAACGCACCGATTCGCATCACAAACGGAGACCTGAAACCAGAGGTTTATGAGTCTGAGTACTCTATACAGGATGAAGAGATCAAAGTAAGTTTTCTCAGTTTGTAAGTACAAATAGCATTAGTTGGACAGCTTAGCAACCATTGTTGCAACACTGAAAACACTAAGAAAAATTTGCAGTTTAAGAGAAATAAAAATGCAAATATGAATGTTTACAAATATAATATGAATGTTGCTCTACCTGAATCTTAATAAATATTTCAATTTTTTTTTCATTAATAAGACACTTTATATACTTAAATTACTTAGCTTTCAATGAAAAATTAAAATGAATTTTAAATATTCTGTATAAGTATATATCTTTAAAAAATAATTAAACTTTTTGATACTATGCATGTCAGTTAGAACCTCAGAGGTGGATTTATAGACCGTGGGTTGAGGCTCCAAAATCGGCTTAGTTTACGAATTCTGTGACCCACCGATCCACGCTACTTGGCATTCGCTCAAAAATGTCAATACTATTTTATTGAAACATAATATAATTGTCGGCAATCGTAAATTTGGGGAAACTGTAACCAAAAATGAGAATTTATCTTCGAAAAAATAATGTCGTTCACGAAAGCAGTACCCAATCACAGCACACGTACCATACCTGTTAAGCATTGATGAGACGCTATTAGCTAATCACAAACGTTCTTGTAAACTCGGTAACTAATGCAAA